CTGCTGAAACTGATTAGACCATGCACATAACCTTCCCGTGAGATCTGGACGTGGGAGCAATGTGTGTGTATGTGTGTGCGTGTGTGTGTGTAGCGGGAAGTTGGAGGTGGGTCAGAGGGACAGGAGATCTATTTTTGGCAGGAACCTTAAATAAGTCCAGTCATCCACAGAGGGTGTGTGGTTCTAAGGGGTGGTGTAGCATTGTGGTCAAGAGGGTCCCTTTTTTTTTTTTTTTTTTTAAAGATTTTATTTATTTTATTTTTTCCCCCCAAAGCCCCAGTAGATAGTTGTATGTCATAGCTGCACATCCTTCTAGTTGCTGTATGTGGGACTCGGCCTCAGGATGGACGGAGAAGTGGTGCCTCGATGCGCACCCGGGATCCGAACCCGGGCCACCAGCATTGCAGCGCGCGCACTTAACCACCAAGCCACAGGGCCGGCCCAAGAGGGTCCCTTTTGAAGATGGAGAAGAGTGATCTGAATCCAGACTCTTCTGCTCATTCGTTGTATGAGTATGGATAAGTAAGTCTTGAGTGTCTTAATTTCTAAAATGGGGTTAGTAATGTCTACATTCTTAGTACAGTGCTTTACGTGTGGTAAATATTGAATAAATTGTAGTTGTTATTGTTAAAGCTGATTCCATAGGAAAACTAAAATAAATTAATGATGTGATTCTTTTTATTTTAGGTTATGTGTGAAATTAAAAGGGTCTTTGTATTTATAATATTTTAATTTTTTTGTGTGTGTGCGTGAGGAAGATTACCCCTGAGCTAACATCTGTTGCCAATCCTCCTCTTTTTGCTGAGGGAGATTGGCCCTGGGCTAACATCTGTGCCCATCTTCCTCACTTTACATGTGGGATGCCACCACAGCATGGCTTGATAAGCGGTGCATAGGTCCGCGCCTGGGATCCGAACCCACAAACCCTGGGCCGGTGAAGCTGAGCGTGTGAATCCAACCACTATGCCACCAGGCCGGCCCCCTATAATATTTTAATTTTTGATGAAAGCATATAGTCCTTATTTATTTCCATGGTGAAATTAAAAAAAGAGAGTTTAAGCCTAGGAATCAGAACTTGGGCATTCATACCAGTTCTGCCGTTAACTGGTTACATCACCTTTTACACGTCCCTGAACCTCTCCAGGCTTTAGTCCTTTACCTGCAGAGGAGTGTAGGGTCTGACGATTGCTTCTGTACCTTTTGGTGCTAATGAAATGGGCAAACAGTTAGCCATTGATGATTAAGTAGTTAGGAACTAAAGTTTTTTTCCTTTTTGCAATTACTGATTATAACTCTTAGTTGTTCTCCCGCCCATTGTTAACTGTGCTCTTTAGGCAACATGCTCTCTGACTCCCACTAGGTTCCTACAGACAACATCTCCCTGGAGCCTGGGTCACCATGGTAATGAGTGTTTGAGCTGTTTTTCAGGAATTAGAACTGCTTGTCCACTTCAGGCTGTTTGAGACCACTAACCCATCAACTGGGCCTGCGCAGATGTCTGATAAGTGACCTTTTGATGTCAAGAGCCTAAAAACTCCACCATCGGGTCATGCTAATGCCGCCATTTTGTGAGCAAGAGTCCTATGAAGAGGCATGAAGTCTGACGATGCTTGTGCAGATCATCAATTACCTCACCTCTCCTCACCTCCAATCATCTATCTCCACACTTCAGACCACCTTGCCCCCTACCCCATGAATATCCCTGAGTCCCCATTTTCGAGGAAGCAGATTTGAGACTCATTCTCCTGTATCCTCACTTGGCTGCTTTGTGATTAAACCCTCTCTCTGCTGCAATCCCGTCGTCTCGGTGTTTGGCTTTCTGGGTGACGGGCAAAAATGAACCTGGTTTTGTAACACTAACAGCATATGTTTCCCATGAGATGCTTTCACACAGTGCAGCGGGGTGCTCTGCCCCCTATATTCTGGCTGGTTGAGTCTATTAGATCCTGGGGCTGGTGAGGCTGAGGAGATGGGCTTGAGTCCTCTTGGTCTAGTTAGTTTCCGTGTCCTTCAGGATTGTCTCTCTGACCTGAGTCATATGTTCTACAAGTGCAAAGAAAGGCACTTCTGCAAGTATGGAGTATTAAGCCACGCCATCATGGCAACTAGCGGGGTACAGAAAGATGAAAAAGGGGTCACCTGATGCTGCAGCATTGGCCAATGCAATTGTCCAGGTGTGAAAAGGAGCATGCCATCTCCCTGGGACCACTTACCATGGTGGTCACCTCCTCCTAGTCACTGCTTCTTAGTAACTTGCTAAACTAAGTAACGTGGGCGTTTGATTAAATCTTAGGATTCTGAATTGGCTCAAGATAATTCTCTCATTAATGGCAATGTGTTTGGTAGTTAGAAGAAGCGAAACACATCAGAGAGAAGATTTCTGACTATTTAGGAAGTCTCTGTTTTAAAATGATAATAAGCGGGTTCGGGGGTGGGGGTGGGCGGGGGCAGCTCTGGGTGTGATTTGCGTCTTACTAGAATGCAGAGGTGGTGAACTAGGGCCTGGACCTGGGCTCCCAGCAGCTCAAGATGGGTGGGCTTTTAACCAGCACTAGAATCTGGTCTTTGAACAGCTGCTTTCTGTAGACAGGGAGTCGTTTGCCTAAGGTATTGATTCCCCGTGCTGTGATGTTGACCAGCCAGCCATTTAGGGCTCTGCAAGCAAGATCTCAGCTTGGGTATTTAATGAGCCAGAGGCCTTCTGCCAGATGCTATTTCCTACTAGAAGATCCATCTTCCTCTGAATATAGCAGTTTTTTTTCCGTTTAATGAGGAAGATCTGATTTGCCAAAAACCAGTAAATCCAGACAAAAAGGTGAGACTTTCTGCCTTCAAGATTATCGAAAGCAAAGGTTGCTGTGTGTGCAGATGCTTTTGATCCCAATGGCCTGCAGAAGAACATGGAGCAGCCTCTATATTTGGGGCAATATTTTTATTCTTAGTTGGGGCCAGATTGAGATTTTTCGAGGCCCAAAGCTCTGAAAAGCTTATAGTACCCACCCTGTCCTGTAATTCAAAATAATAGAAAATAATCTAAACCAAAATGTAAGCGTAAGAAAGTTAAGCAAGACTAATAGTTATGATTTCCTATAAGACTATTTTGATAATTTTTTTGAAACGTCAAAAATCAAACGCTTTAATTCTTTTCCTCATCCTCTGCTCCCCTCTTTTGTCCCTGCCTTGCTGGCGCACTGCCTGGCGGGTGTTCCTAACCTGCCTATTCAGTGACACAGCACTTCCTTCTCCGAGAGTGGCATTTCTCCAAAGTTGGTACTTGGGTCACCTGCATCAGATCACATGGTGATCTTGATAAATGAAGATTCCAGGGACCTCAGGCCCCTCCGCATGTAACTCATCGAAATATCCGGGGCTGGAATCTGTTTCTTAACAAGCTCCCCAGGTGACGATTGTACAAACTACAGTGAAGCTTCAGCACACTTAGAATGTTCTAATGCAAGATTCTACGGCTCTCATCATCATTGGGGAGCTTCTTGAAAAACACAGAGGGTCCCTTGTAAGTTCTGTTAGTTCAAGTAGCCTGGGAGAGTCCTCTGGAATGTCTAGATGGAAAAAGCTCCATTGTGATTCTGTTGAGAATTATATGCTAAACCCATGCAGTTCAATAGAAATATGATACCAGCACATCTGTATTTAGAATTTTTCTAGTAGTCACATTAAAAAAGTAAAGTGAAACAAGTAAAATTAATTTAAAAAATATTTTTATTTAACCCAGTGTATCAAAATATCTCAACATGTGATTGTTATAAAAATTGTTGAGATATGCTACATTCTTTTTTTCACATTAGATCTTTGAAATCTGGTGCGTAGTTCACACTTGCAGCACATCTCAATTTGGACGAGCTGTATCTCAAATGCTCAGTAGCCACACGTGGCAAGTGGCTACGTTATCACATAATGAAGCTCTAGACAGTCTCTCCCTTAATATGGAAGTGCTGGGAATGAGATGTTTCAAACAAGTTATTTTGTCTGTGATCTCAGTCACCTTTGATTCCTAAATATCCTTCTTACCTCATGAAGTCTTCCATCACTAATTCCCCCTTCCCTTTCCCATTGCTCCCATCTTAGTTCAGGCGTCCCCTACCCACCCCATGACTCCATCCTAGGCTATTAAGAAATCTCTCCCTACCTCTGCTTTCTCTTTAAACCAACTTGCCTGATAAATGTTCCATTGTTCTTACAACATAATTTTCATCCTGATACACTCTTCTGGACCATAACACTTTCAGGATATCATCACGGAGTTGGCAGTTGGAAGGGAGTATGTTTATCATCCATTAATATTAACTATCACCTATTTTACTTTTACAACGTAGATTCCCACATTGCATGTTCTTTGAACTTCCAATCACCCTGGGAGGTAGGTATTATTATGCTCATTTCACAGATGATAAAATGAGGCTCATAATGCTAACCATAAGACAGCAGACAGTAGGAGGCAGAGCTGGTCTCAAATCCAGGTCTTTGCCTCCACATTCCCAGCTCCTCTGCATCACTCTCTCTCTTGGATTGTCCAATCCTGCATTCCACTACACAGAGTGGAAAACCTCCAGTTGCTCACCCCCCACAGATCTAGTGTTAGCTGACTTGTCTCTCTAACAGTGGCAGGATGCTGCATTAGGGGCAGTCCCCTCTGCTGTTGATATTTAGAGAGCTTCGTTTCATTCAAGTTCAAACTTTGTAGCCTGATTCTCAATGTTTTCCATAATCTGGCACTAACCTGCATTTTCAGCCATATCTCCCACTATTTCTCTAGCCACATGGCATATTTTACGCTCTGATCCACATTCTGACTTTTCCCTGGCCATCCTATTCACTCCGATTGGCTTCTTGCTTCCTCTACTTGGCACAGAATTCTACCCATCCTCCAGCTGTGAGCCCTGTCTGTCTGCAGGGGAGCCCTCCCTCTTCTGCATCTGGTACCTTGCGGGCTCCTCCCTGTCGTTGGTTACATACTATTTGGTGTTGGATTTATTTCATTTTTTTCATGCTCATAGTAGAGGTGATTCCTCCAAGTGTTAATAATAAAAATCCCCCTCATGTCCACCTAGCGACTGATACCTTGGAGAAAATCTTGGCAAGCTAGTGATATTCCTTTACCATTAGGTATTTTCATTAATGTGTCTACATTTGTCCCCTAAAGAGGCACCTACAACTGTGCTTGAATCATTGCTTTGCAGGTGAGCAGGTGATTTCCATGAGCCTGAAGGGAGTTGTAGTGGTGGACGCATCTAAGGAGCCAGGGACCTGATACAGAGTTTGGTGTTGGATGCCTGCACAGATCACTGACAAGTCCTTGTTCACCATGAACAGTGTGTTACACCAGGGAGCCTGCTGGATGACTGTCGCGGGGCAACCAAATTAGGTCTGATGAGATCAGTGAGTGTGGAGTGGGCTCTAGGACTAGCTCCCTCCGAGGGAGTCCTCAGCATGGCAATTAGAAACAGGGTTTGCCCTAGCTCTTCAGGGAAAGTGCAGGAACAATGAAGTTTGTTATACCTGAGCAGACAACTGGTTCACTTAACACAGAGTGTCTCTGAAAATAGTTGTTTTTTCTCCAGAGGGAACTGGGAATCACTAAGCCCAGTTTCCAAGAAAAAAAATATTGAGAAGCCTCTTTTATTATTCCTCTATTCTCTCTTCCCCTCCATATAATTAAACTGTATTAAATTAATAAACTTTTACTCTGCACTTACTATGAGGAGGCATTATGGGATATACAGAAACAATGTCATGTGCCTGCCCCCACGAGGCTTATGGAACAGCTGTATATGGAGGCAGAGCCATCCAAACAGCATTGGAGGAGACGGCATGAGGAGGGAAGGGAAGGGTCAGTGGAGGTTGGAGGTGATTGGGAATTTGCAGACGTGGAAACTGAGTCTTAGAAAGAAGCATTCATGGAGGATGCATTTACCTTCCAAGTAACTCATTTGGGTTTTAAAGGAGGACCTTCAAGATCGAGTAAGAAAAGATGACAGGAGTAGTGAGTGTGCCTACCCTGCCTGGAGATGATAGAAGGAAAAGTAGGAATACTTACACGTGAATGTCCTTTACCTGGCTTGTCTGCCTCACAGAGCAAGAACAGAGGGGGGCTTTGCAGTCCTCTTAGGGCCTTTGTGGGAATCACAAACACTGGGCACATTCTTCCATGTGAAGAAGCTACCTCTGCCCTCTCTGAAAGTCTCCTTTAAGCTGGAGAGTTGTTACGTTTCCCTATTCCATTGGGCGCCGAAAACACAATTTGACTCCAGCAATGAAAAATGCACCCACCGGCATTCTGCAATTGCTCTTCTCATTGATGGCCCTAATCCCTTCCATTATTTCATATAAACCCTGATTTCTCTCCATTGCTCAATTCTTAAGGGAAGAACTGAATGATGGTATCCATGGAGGTGATTGAGGTGAAGAATCTTGAATGGTGGGATGAAGGCAAGGCTTTCTTGGTGTTTTAGCATCTACAAATCCCCTACCCCACAAACTCATAAATGTCAAAGTTCCCAGATTTCTAGAAAACAGCAATTTGGGCTCTAAATTGGATCCATGGTGGCCCTGGATAAACTCCATGGACCAGAAATTAGTTCCCTGGTGTTACCTATTCTGAAGATCCTAAACCAGAGGTCATCTCCTCTACCAAACCCTACCACATGCTCCTCGGAAAGAGAACAACTGCTCCTCTGAACTCCGTAACATTTATGGAGGATCACAGCTGTGAGCAACACCACTTAGATTCTAGCGGAAACACCTATCTTCTCTCCCCTCAGTTCACTCTGATCACTTCTAGAAGGTACGTTCTTGCTTGATTTCTTTTTTGGTCCCTCGTTAGTGCCCGGTACAATTTCTTTGCATACAGGGGAAGCCACAATTAAGTTGAAAGAGCTGTGGACAAGCAGTGAGAAGATGAGGTGTAATCCTGACTTTGGTGCCACCAAAGTGTTCTCACCTTGGGTAAATTATATTGTGTATCCATCCATGCATTTGCACCTGTGCATATTTCCCTACTAATAAGATGAGTCGCTACTGACCATTTCTGCTGTGAAATTCTGTAGCTCTATGTAGTTACTTTCATACATGTTCAGATATGATTTTAGATGCTGGTAACACAAAAATAATGGATAAGTAGTGTAACTGTAAGAAAAATAAATAGGGAGGCAGTTAAGTGTAGGGTTTAAGAGTGCTGGCTCTGGATTCAGACTGCCTGAGTTCAGATACTGGTATCACCATGACTTGATGTGTAACTTCTCTATTTCTCATCACTCAAAGTTTCCTTATCTAGAAAATGGGGATAATAATGCTACTTATAGAGTTGTTGTGAGAATTAAGTGCTTTGATTTGGTTATGCATTTTGAATGGTCTCTAGCACACGGTTTGCCAATGAGAGTTAGCTTTGCAATTGTGATGATGATGATTTCTCCCAGACTCTGAGTTCTCAATCTGTGCAAAGGAGTGACTTATGAAAAGTCACTCCTCTAAGATGTGGCATGACATTTAGTTTCCCAGATGTACATGTGTGCCACCTGTCTTAGTGGTAAGTCCATAGTATGCTCCTTTTCAGTTGGTTTGTGTGTGTGTCATCTTTCAACATCAAAGTAGATGCTTCAAACTCCCAAGACTTGCATCAGCACATGGAGGAGCCTCCCATCCTCAGTGGGCACTGGCTCATTTACAAGTCTACAAACAGAACGCACTGCATACTAAATGTTCTTGTTGCCCCTTCCAGATTGCCCTTCACCCTTCTCCACCCTTATTTTTGCCCTGGGAGGCTGAGCTCTGTGGATCCCCTGGCTCTGGTATCTTCTCTCTTCTGGTTAGCTTTAGCCAAAAGGAGGCACAGGGAGTCAATCAGAAGGCAGCAGGATGAGAGAGAGATTACAGTATTTATCTGCACCGCCCATAATCTATCCCCACTCCTTTTTGGCAGGGGCCACCCTCCTCTACTGAATGCCGCAGCTCCTCTCAAGTGACTCTTCCCCTACAGCTTCTTGCTGCGCTCCAGTGGGACCTTCAGATCCATAGGACTCGTCGCTGTTGCTAGTTCTGGGTATTGTCCCCTGCTTGTTCCCATAACTCTTGTCACATCTCAGGATAGTCCCTTTGTTGAATGCTCTTCAGCTCCCTCTGTTGAGTGCACTGTTTCCTCTCTGGTACACATTGATGAGATTGATACTTCCCCACCTACTTGCTGGTGGGAAGTACCTGGAACATTTTAACCTGATCCTATAATCTCAAGGTTCAGATTCAGCCCTTTCAAAGTCCAGCTCCACAGGATATGGAGAGCACTGCTTGAAGAGCAGGGCACGAACTTACTAGATGGTTAAATACTATTCTCTCCAGTGTGAAAACTCAAAAGGTAAAAGAGGAACTAAATAGATTGGGGTGAACACAAGTTTTATTATGATTCTTAGAACACTCTGGGTTATAAAGGAACTTCTCAACATTAATTCTATTGTATTGATACAAACATTCAGTGCCCGTTGGATGAGAGGGCCAGGAATAAATGTCGGGATTGGGCTAGTGGTGGTGTGCTGGTGCTCATGGTGAAACCATTGAGCTCATGGCCAGGGAAAGGTTGGAGAGAGAGGCATGGCAATGGACAACTACTGGGAGGACAGCGACCTAAGTACTCAAGACCTGACTGCTTTTGATATGTTCTTTGGAGAAACCTCCTCTTGGTGATTGAAAAAGTTTGAAAGGCTTGAGGGCTCTAATTAGATAACATTTTGCAGAAAGCAATGTATAACATTGGTACCCGTAGAAGAGAGGGCAATGGTTTGTAAGAGCTTGACTCTGGCTGGCGCTTGAGAGACAGGGAAACATAAATCTTTCAGTCAGATGCTTTTATGGGAACCCTCTTCCTTGATGGATTAGTTTGTGTAAAACGGTCTAGTGAAGAATAGCACAGAAACATATCCTTCCTACGTTTGATGATTTTACTGTTAGAATTATATTAATTGGTTCAAGGGTGAACTGGTCCAAGCAAGATGTAAGGCAGATCTTGTGAGGTTGAAGTCACCTGTGGTTTATTCAACTTCTACTATTTTCCAACTTGGGGTCTGTATTTCAAACCCTGAGATTAAATCTCTCTTCCTCTGTAAGTAGATCTCTCTGGACTCCACCTCTAGAATTAGCATCATGGTTCCCATGACAACTAATGTACTTGGAAGAGGAGAAGACAGGAATGGGACTCAATAAAAAATGACAGAGCTGTGCCTGAAAAACAGGAATTAATTGTGAATTTGAACATAGGGTCATAAAGTGAGTGGTTGGGGAGAGGGATATTAAGCAGATAAAGTCTTTGGTTTAAGACCTTGGTGACTTGTCCACCACTCTATTACTTTTGGTTTACTCAGCTGCCTCAAACTCACTGCTAGTCTTCTCCTCTCTCCCTCCCTTCCTCCTTTCATTCAATAGAGAACATTATCAGGGCAGGCCTGCTCATAGTCCAGGAAAGAGCTTACCTCTAGAGGTACATTGTATGAGATCTCCCAAAAGTTGTATGGACCCTTGGTTATCTTCCAGACAGGAGCTCTAGACTTCTGCCATTTATAGTCCATATCTGGTTTCTAATAATTTACTTTATTTTGTCTTATGCAGGAATAGCAGAAGTGGGGTTTGTTCTGTTCAGAGCAAGATTTGTGCATTTCCTATTGAGAACTTTGTCAGCTTTTTTCTTCCTCAGTCGTAACCCAAACAGAGGTGAAGACCAGACAATAAGAACTGACCGCTACTGATCAGGGCATTCTGAGCCCCTGGAGGAAAATGTGTCCTACATCCCCACAAGCCTGTGACACAATCAAGTCTTAACCCAGGCTTGAGAATCAATCAAGTAGGCAGAGCTGACTCAATGATTTTGCTCTTACTATGTGTCAACCTGCTTTTCCTACTATGTCAACATCCATTAATTTGAGATTTAACAGCTCCCTTTTCTTCCAAGGTGTACTACATCTGCCAACTCAGCCTGTACATTTTCCTCATTCTTTCTGGCATAGAGTTCCCAAACCTTTAGTAATCAAGAGCAAGTAAAATTTCCAGAACAATTTGGGGAGATTGATACAGGGTTGCTAACTTTTCAGTTTGCAAAATAAGGACATCAAAAGGAAAATCAATCATTTACTAATATTGCAGTTCATAAAAACCTTTTTATACCAAAAAAGTTTGAGGGACTAAGGTTATAATAAAGAATTCTTCCAAAGAGGCCACCTTACCCAACACTCATACACATACACACAAACACACATACACTCTCTCTTTGTCTCTCTCTCTCACACACACACACACACATTCACATACATCTGGTTTTTTTTCATTTTGCTGTGGCCTGGGAAACTTTGTCATGAATCAGCAGTAGACCAAATTGTTCTGTTTGGGATATCCTGCTCCATCGTGTCTTCCTTACCACGGTCCTGCTTAAAATAGTCAACTTTGTTTCAACCAGTTTTGAAAATGTCTCATTTGGGAGAAAATCCAAAATAAGAACTTGGTCTTACTTATTACCATAACCCCTAGATCTTAACACAGTTAAGTGCCTGGCATATAGTAGGTACTCAAAAAATTCTTATTGAATAAACGAATGAATGAAGTGTTAAACCTGTGCATTTTCTTCTCCCTGACTCTGGCCAGTTTCTGACTTAGCGCCTTGGTTTATCTGTGGTTGTCCTCTGGCACCATTTCAATATGGGTAAACAAAGCAGATTAAGAATTTTAAGCATTCTTAAAAGAATGTGTTATTGGGTGTCTTAGTCTCTTTGGGCTGTTGTAACAAAATACCGCAGACTAGGTGGCTTATAAACAACAGAAATTTATTTTTCACAGATCTGGAGGCTGGAAGTCTGAGATCAGGGTGCCAGCATGGTTGAGTGAGGGTGCTTTTCTGGGTCTGCAGACTTCTCCTTGTATGCTCACATGGTGGAAGGGGCTGGGGAGCTCTCTGGAGCCAATCTTATAAGGGCACTAATCCCATTCTTTAGGGCTCCACCCTCATGATCTAATCACCCCCCAAAGCCCCCACCTTCTAACACCATCACATTGAGTGTTAAGATTCCCACATGTGAATTTTGGGGAGCACACACATTCAGACCATAGCAATGGAGTACATTCTTCTGGCAGATTCAAGCCTTGCTATAGGTGACAGCCATGCTTCACCACCACCTCTGCTTGGCACACATCCAGACTTCGGCTCGAAATTTGGCAGCTAATCTGTGTCTTGTTTATTTATAGTCTGTCCCAGATGACTCAAGTTTCAAAATAAATAATCCATTAGGGTAATATATATATGAGCAAATTGCATGATATGGATAAAATTACTAAGCTATCTTCTAGTCCACTGTGTTTTCATACAGAAGAGAATTATAAATCACAGCTTAATGTTGCTCTTATTTGAATGTTTAATTAATCAACTTTTACAAATGATTTAGCATTTCAGATTTTTTTCTTGGGTTAATAATGATGCTAAATTGCTTTAAAATGTTTTAGCCCATTTTTCATCCAATTCACGTATTTTTTTGTTTTCACTTCAAGATTGCTTAACATATGTAGTGGGTGGTGATAAGTTAGGGAAGAAATGAAAACACAGAAGAGTAAAGTTTTGGAAGAATCTAGAGGTCACTGAGTTCAGTGGTTCCCAAGCCTTCTGAATGTGGCAAAAGCCTTCCCCGATGATTACAGCATATCAGCCTTATTAGGTTATCACTGATTTGGACCAAGACACCATTGTAAAGATGAGGAAACTGAGATCCCGGTTTCCTCGTTAAGTGGCCCCCTCTTTGCCAACTCTACAGAGGTAGTTGT